AGCCAAGTGACAACTTACAAAGGGGGGTGTCACCTGTCCCGATTATTCCGCCTTGGCTAAGAAGCCACAGACTTGCCGCCTCCTCCTCACAATGGGGAAGAAAAAATACGTCTACCTCCAGCTATCAATGAACAACATCGTGCTGGGAAAGGTATACTTCCAGTTGTTTGACGACTCGGAGGTGAAGAAGTCCGTAGAGAACTTCCTCTCTCTGTGTAGAGGGAACAAGTACCACAGCGTGTATTCAGGGGAACCCCTATCATATAAGCACTGCATTATCGAGAAAGTGAAAAAGAACAAGTGTATAAAGAGCGGCTACCTACGATGCAAAGTGACGCATGATAGCAAGGGGAAGGTCATCGCTCCCTCGACTCGGACAAACACTCAGGAAAAGTACGATCAGGTTGAATCCATTTTCGGCCCGACTTTCAAGAAAGAGAGTTCCCAAAGGAGACATACAAATGCAGGGCTCCTCACCATGGTCCAGGTGGGGCCCAAACGTTGCTCCTCTATCTTTAAGATTACACTAAACTCGGTGAACAAATACAATGGAAAGAATACCATCATCGGTCGAGTCGTTAAGAATATGCATATCTTGAGGGCCATCGAATTGATTCCTGTGACGAAGAACTTCGAACCGAAGATCTGTATTTATATTTCTGAATGCAATGAGGTGAGTGAGGCTATCTTCAAAGGGGAACGCGTCTCCTCCAGGCAGCAGTATATTGATAGCCTCTTTGCAACTCCGGGCACCGCCGACGCGAGAGACAGTGACGAAGCTAGCGATGGGGGCAGTGACGATAGTGCTGCACCCGCTCAGGGGAAGCACAGGGACCCCCTCAGGAATATCTTCTCTAAGGGGAAAAGGGGGAAGACAGAAAAGACGGAGAAGCAGAAGGGAATCGAGCTGCTCAATCGGATCCTCTCCGACATCGACAAACTCGCGAGGGGGGAAGCGGTGCAAAGGGGGGAAGCAGCGCATAAGGTGGAAGCAGAACATAAGGTGGAAGCAGAACATAAGGTGGAAACAGTGCATAAGGTGGAAGCAGAACATAAGGTGGAAGCAGTGCATAAGGTGGAAGCAGTGCAGAGGGGAGAAGAAACACAGAAGGGAGAAATACAGAGGGGAGACGCGACGAAGTGCCCTCCGCGCAGAATGACGGACAGGGAGAGGAGGCTGCTCGAAATTCAACTCAAGATAAACCAGTCGAAGGGGCTGAACGCAATGGAGGCGAACCGGGAGAGGTTGACGGGGCACCTCCCGACGCGAGGCACCTCCGCAGTGAAGACAGACGAGTATGCTTGCTACCATTATGAGAAGAATGCCAGTGTTACCAATACATGTGGGAAGCGGCCCACACACCCAGAAGAGAGCGGCCCAGCAAAGGGGAACGATCCACCCAATGGTGATGACCCCCCAAGCAGTGGTGACGATAAAGAAGACGCCCCGGTCATCTATACAACCAGCGCTGCTCAGGCAAAAAGCGTCTCCAAAAGGAAAAACAAAAAAGACCTAATCGAAGTTGACAGGGATACGCGATTTTTCAAAAAAATGAAATTCAACTTCTCTATAAATAGGAACCTATATGATGAGAAAAAGAAAAAACTGGGCAACAGTTTCTACGGACAGGACTTGCTAATGACAGACTCGTCCAAGTGCACCGAGAGTGACAAGAATAAAGTGATCTCCTTCTGCAAGAAGCAGGAGATCGTCCGCTCCAAGCTCAGTCGGAAGAGAAAGCACGATGATGGGGTCTTTAAAAATTACATCAACATGAGGAACAAAATGTATAACAAGAAGCTCGACCGCTACTTCAACCAGCACACGGCCGAAATCAGGCAGAACTTGGAGCGGGGAGGTTAGCGGCGCGACTAGCGGCTGGGTCTCCAGGGAAAAGTACCCCTCAGTTGGGGAGTTAAAAAAAAAAAAAGTAAAAACGGTCCAAATTATCCCACCAATAGGGGGTTACCCAACCGAGTCAATCCGCCTCCTCAGAGCTAAGCGTCACCGTGACTCTTCAGTGTTCCACTTCACCGTGACGCTTCATCGCTTCTACTCGCCACCTCACAGCTTGCTCCTGTTCTTGCCCCGCTTGAGCGTCAAGATGCGCGCAATCTCGAAGGGGTTCCTCACCAGCGGTGACACAATGTTACCGACCCGGTTAGACAGCCGAGGCGCGATCAGCTTGGCGTGCGCCGAAATGTCATTCACCTCTTTGTTTAAGTTTATGTTCAAGGTCTTCTGATAATCCTTCCTCTCATAAGGATAGGGAACCTTGTCCACAAAGTATTTTTCAAATTTCCTGTCTTTCCTATTGAAAACGCTAATCGTGTGGATCGGGATTCTTTTCTTTTTCTCAATCATCTCCTTCTCTTTTAAGACTTTCTTTTTCTCCAATTCGAGTAACGTTTCGTAGTTGCACCATTCCCTTTGGCTCACCCTCTCGGTGGTGACTCTTTCATCGTCGCTCAACTGAAGCAACTCATCATCTTCCCGAGGGATCTTCCCATCGGCTGTCTCTGGATTTATATTCACATACTCTTCGTAGACTTCGTTTTCGAAATTGTACACTGTGAGATTTTCCCCGAAGTTCTGCATCAGGGATTCGCCGCCAATCTGGTCAATCGCATCGATCGCGTCAATCGAGTCAATCGCGTTGATGTCGCAGAGGTCCCTTACGGTGGATGGGTCTACCTCTTCTGGGTTTTCCTCCTCTGGCTTCTCCTCCTCTGACTTTTCCTCCGCTGGTTTCTCCGCCTCTGGCTTTTCCTCCGCTGGTTTTTCCTCCTCTGGCTTCTCCTCCTCTGACTTTTCCTCCGCTGGTTTTTCCTCCTCTGGCTTCTCCTCCGCTGGTTTTTCCTCCTCTGGCTTCTCCTCCATCGGGACTACCCCGGATGGATTCTCTAACAGAGCTACACCGAGTGGATTCTCCTCCGCGGAGTTCCCTCCTAGGTGCCCCTCCTCGGAGCCCAAAATGCCACCCTTCCGCAGCGCGTTCACCAGGTCGGCGTCTCTCGCTAGCTGCGCCCTCGCCTTGGACGCCTCCTTCGAGCTCGACCTGCGCACCTCGTTTGACAGGCCCAAATCGAGGTGGGTCCTCTCAGCGTCGCTGCCCTCATCGGAGGAGCAACTCGCCATCGGATCCTTCTCATCCTTCTCATCCCTCTTCCGTTCCACCTTATCGAGCAGCCTCTTTCTCTGTTGATACAATTCATCGTCCCGTTTCCTTTCCTCAGCATTTCTCACAAAGGAGAATCGTTCAAGGTTCCTTTTTTGTAGTTCCCTCCTGACTTTATCCTTTTTGGTCAGGGAGGAGGTGTCCACTTCGTCATCTGAGGTGTCATCCGCCCCACGAATGCTGCTCCACTTCTTAGGATTTCCGCTTCCCCGCTCATCTGTGCCGCTTCCTCTTCCCCCCTCATCGGTGCCACTTCCCCCCCCGTCCTCTTCCTCCACAACGGCCCTCTCGATGATCCGCCTAAGCGCATTCTTCTCTTCCTTCTCTGCCTGGAAGCTCCTCAGCATCTGTTTCTTCAGCTCCTCGTTCTTGTACCGATTGAGTAGCCGCACGGTTTTTCTCTTCTTCACGTTATTTATTAAGTTTCTCTTCTGAGCGTATTCTTTCTCATAATTGGCCAGATTTTCTGCCAGGTCAGGGTGCTCCGAGTATATCTTGGCCAAGATCTTTTCCTCCTCCTTCTTCTCCTTCATTCGCAGATGCCTACGGTATGACTTTGACTTAATCCGTTTCTTATATTTGTTTTTTTTTTCCTCCTGGAGTAGCAATGCTTTCAGTTGAGCAATTTTTTTTAGCTCATCTCTTTTTTTCTCCCTCTCCGTTTTCAGCACGTCGTCCGACACGATGAGCATTTTGGACATCCTCAGATTTTTCTGCATCTCGGCTTCGAACTGGAGGGTGGTGAGGGAGTCATCGGGGTTGGCGGTGGAGTGGGAGAGGCCACCCAGCGCGCCAGTTCCACCGCTGCGTTGTTCGGTGTGTTTTCCGCCCTGTCCTTCTCCCACGCGGGCACCCCTTCGGAGGAGGCTCTTGTTTAGGAACTCCTCCGAGGTGACTTCCCCTTCCCCATTTTTCCCCCCCTGCCCGAAGTGCACCCCCTGCGCGTTGCTTATGACGTAAAACGATCTGTTCATTTTGTTTATAAGATCCACATTGTTTACGTACGCCAGATGCTCGTTCATTTTCTGTTCCTCCAGGATGGAGATGTGTCTGGAGGTCTTCCCCTTCTCTAGTTGTCCCCTCGTCAGCATATTGATATCATCACCTATTTGCTCCCTCGCTACGACATCTTCCGTGTAGAGGAAATCAGAAAGGTTTACTGGCTCGGCTGGCTTCTCAATTTTGTACACGTCGTCTTTCTGGGAGAGGTATTGGTACGACTCTGCCTCGGCGTCCTCCTCCGTGACCTCGCCCTCTTCTTCCCTGTCGTCCTTCCTAAGACATTTTCTCCTCTTCGGGACTCCCTCCCCCTGGTCATTATACATTCTCAAAAATTGTATTAAGTTCTCCGAGGGGTCTCTCTTCTTGATCATCCCTCTCGTCGTCATTTGTTTTTCCTCCTCTAGGATAACGTCCTCGCGTTGGAGGAAATGCAACCCATCTTCCTCGTCTTCTTCCTCCTCCTCCGCTTCCTCGTCCTCCTCTTCCGTCTTCTCCCTTTTGCTCTTGCTTTGTTTCACCTTGGGGGGCTTCTTCCCTTTGGAGAGCTTCTTCCCTTTGCGCTTTTCCTTTCGCCGCCTCTTTTGGAGGGCCCTCCTGCTGTCACCACGACAGTCGTCACCACCGCAATCATCACCATCTCCACCCCCATTAGCGCTCGCCCCCTTCACCTGGCTCATTTTCCTCTTCATTGTCCTCTTGAGGGAGGGGATTTTACCCCTTTCTATTAGCCTTTCCATTTTTATCGACGTCGCTTTCTTTGCGAGGCCTTCCTTCCTGCGCAGCTTCTTCAGCTCGCCCCCCTTCTTCGCCTTTTTCCCCTTCGATCGCCTCTCTGCCGAACCCCCGCTCAGCGTCGTCGATGCGTCGCCGAGGTGCTCCATGGATGTTCCCCGTTCACTTCCATCCTCTGCAGAAGGGTATGCCATTGCGCGCTTCACTACGTTTCGCGTTTAGTGGAATTTTGCGGACGGGAAAGCAGTAGCTCATGCTACAAGAAGCTAGCCAAGTTGGAACCATAAGAAAAAAAAGAAAAAGCAACAAGGAAGTAGCAAAGAAGGAAGAAACAAAAAAGCAAAAAACAAAAAAACAAAGAAGCAAAAAACACAGAAAAACATATTATTCATAAGAAAACATCCTTACAATGTAGGAACATTTGTGCCACCCCGTGCCAACACGCAGCTGATTTCTTTTCAACTCGCGCGAGTCGGAACCCCCGATCGGACCGCATGAAGGGAAGGAACCATATCATCATGTGGGTAGCATCTCATTTTCCTGCTTCTTCCACCGTGCGTTTGTTCCACATGCTTTTTCTTGCGGATGGGGGCAGTGAGGGGGAAATTTTACTTTCCCTCCCACAAAATGTGCCTTTCGCGTTGCAGGAAGAAGCAAAAGATAGTAAAGGGTTAGCGTATTTAAACCGAGTAGCAACACGGCATGGGAGTAGTTACTGGAACAACGGAGCACCTCACGTTGAGCAGGATGGGAAGATAACCCCTTGGAAGGAATACCCACTAGCGGAGGAATGAACCCACATGTGCAAAAAACATCGCCAACGGATTAGTATACCATGCTGTAGTTAGAACTGCCTTCCTTTGGGGAACCCTACCCACTTTTTTGTGTGTAATTCCTCTTGGGAACGACGTCCTCCCATGAGAGAAACCTTTGAGTCATCGGGGGAGCTTTCCTCTCCCGCTCGGTTTACGCCCTCCCCCGACATTGAGCAAGGACACAAAATGTTGGGGGGGGCTAGTCCGGAGAGCAGAAGTGAAGAGCAGTCAATCCCAGTTGCATCAAGTCAAACCGATGAGTAAAAAAAAAAAAAAAAAAAAAAAAAAAAAAATAATCTGCTCATACAAACGCGAACAAATTGAACTGATCAAATTGATGGAAAGAATAAAAAATAAAATAATCTGAGGAATTACGAAAAAATTAAAAATAATTAGCAGTGGCAAAAACAGAGAGTTAGGCGGCATGGACGAACGCAGAGATTGGTCTATACGTGCAACCTGCACAGATGGATCCCCACGCGATCCGCCTCGTCCAATCCTCCTAATTCGAATTGATCAGCCGCAGCGAGTCCTGCAGCGCCTTCGTGTAGTGGTTCACCGCCTGGACGATGTCATCATCGGCCGCCTCGCGCGCCTGCGACTCCAGTATCAGTCCGTTCTTTATCGTTGCGATTTCCTCCATGACGAAGGTCTGGAAGTTTTCGTTCTTCCCCTTCCTCTCCCTCTTGATTTCCTCGATGTAAGAGATTATTTCCTGGTACTTGCTGTCTCGGATGTTCTACGGGGGAAGAAAAAAAAAGGGGTTATCGAGGTTAGCGGCAGGGTTACCGCTAGCGTTAGCAGCTCAGTGAGGGGATGGCCACCCCGCTACACACCCTTCGCACCCACCTTCTCCGTGGCGATCCGGCTCTCCGATTTCCGCTCCAGCTCCTCCAACTTCTTGCAGATGCTGCTCTCCTTCTCCTTGTTGCTCGCCTTGTCCTGCTGAAAGGCGGCCTGCAGGCTGGAGAAATCACGAGCAATGCTGTTATTCCTTTTCTCCAAATTCTGGATACACTTCATCTTCTCACTTTCTATGTTACTGGCAACGGTATCTACCTTATTGTTCAGAGCTTTGATGGCTTTCTCAATTTCTCCCACCTTGTCTTTCACGACATGTTCAATTTTTTCCTGCACCTTTAATATCTCTGAGGAAAAGATGCTCTGAATCGTTCTGTTGTGCTCAATTCGTTTCTTTATCTCGTTGTTGAGATTTTTTTCCAATTTATTAATCGCTTCCCTGATGACAAAGATTTTCTCCTTCTCCACGTTTTTTTTCTGTAGAATTTCGTTTTTTATTTCTTTTTCAAATCCCTCAATTTTTTCGCACAGCCGCTTGATCTTTATCTTTGTGTTGTTGTTGATGCACTTCCCTTTGGCTTCGATGGACCGTTTGGTCACTTCGGCGAAGAGGAGTCCCCCTCCGTTATGATCGCAATCATTACCGCAGTGGTCACCACAGTTGTCACCGCCGTCATCACCGCTATTAGCGCTATTAGCACGCCCCCCCACGTATCCACTGCTCCTGGTCGCCTTCTTCAAGCTGCAGCCCAGACGTGGATTCCTCTGCGCCTTCTCCCGATCGCTCCGCAGCTTCGCGGGCTTGAAGAAAGGGCCCTCCTCGTGGTAGGTTGTGCTGCTAGCGTGTGTCCCGCCGCTCACGTGTGTCCCGCCGCTGATGTGTGTTCCACCGCTCAGATGCGTCCCCCCACCCATACTTAACTTCAACCCAGATTTACTCATCGTTCCCTCGACGAAATCCCCCTTCAGCATCCTCCCCCCCTCGCAGTAATACATAATGTCGTTCTTCGTCAAGTTCAGCGATTGGTTGAAACTCCTATTGGCACCAAAAGTGTTGTCCTCCAGAGGGGACATGTCCTGCTGCTTGTACGCCCGTATCCCTTCCCTGGCACTTTTCTCTTGTCCACTCTTCGTCGTTTTGTGTCTATTCACGCACACTTTGGTCTGAACCTTCCGGAGCTGGCTGCTTATATCGATGCTCATGTTGCTGCTTCTCATCTCGTCCTCGCTTAAAAAGAATTCGCTTCCGTTACGGATTAGAGGGTTTTCCTTTTTTTTTCCTCCGTCTTTGCTGTAGAGGGCGTCCCTCCCTCCAAAATAATCCCCGATGTCGTCGTTACCATTCCCTTTGTCATTGCTGCTGCCTTTGCTGCTGTCTTTGCTGCTTCCTTTGCTGCTTCCGTTGCTGCTGCCTTTGTTGCTTCCCTTCCTGCTGTCCTTACTGCTCTGCTTAGTGCTCTCCTTAGCATGGTCATCCTCATCGTCGTCCTCAAACTCGTCGTCCAACTTAAAGTTCCCCGCGCTGCCCCTTTCGCCAGAACAGTAGGTACTCCCTTTTCCACCCTTGCCGAAATTGTGCATGCTCTCCCGGCTATTGTAGCAAGACACGTTGTCGTCTGACCTCTTCTCAGACTCGGTGTCCCTCTTGTTGCTGCTGGAGGGCTCGTTCATGTCGAACATGGTTCTGGTGCGGCTGGTGAAGAGTCTTCTCCTTCGCTCAGCACCACCTTCAGTGGGAACATCTATCCTTCGGAGTCAGTAGCCCTCTTCGTGTATCGATGCGCGTGGTGGCTGCCCTTACACCTTCTCCAACACCGAGTCCCCTACTCCGTGCAACGTGTCTCTATCGCCTCTGCCCGTCGCCTATGCAGCTTTTTACTTTTTTTTTCCCGTTCGAGTGAACTCCAACCTGGTAAGACCTTCGACGGATGATCACACAGGGGAACTGCTACAAACAAAACGTGCCTATATAGTGCGTCGATATTGCACAAGTCGAGACTCCTTCCCACCTGGAAATGAGTTTATCACCACCCTCCAACGGTAACTTACGGTCAGGTAAAAACACGCCGCTAACTTGGATGCCTTGGGACTGCCCCAAATGAG